CTCCTGGCATCGCTACTAGGAGCAAAGGACGCTATACTAGGGGCTCCATGCCTTTACTCCGACCAGCGAACGCCGGAGTGAACGGAGTGGACCACGCGCCCACGCCCTACCGGTCTCAAGTTGCACGTTATTTATTCTGGTCCTGGGGGCTAAGACCGCATGTCACAATGCGTGCGTGTAATATATCATTATGCATAATTGTAGACCAGTCAAGTTTGTTATTGCAACCTAGAAAAACATGTTTTTATTTACCCCTGCGGATTGTTCCGCCGGCCCTTTTGGCTGAGGGGGGGGGGAGGGGGGGGAAGTTAGACTTGTCAAAAATCCGCGCCGTGGGTACAATTAGACTAAAAACAAAACTACTACTAGGATAGCATACAAACCAATCACCTAAAACACGCCGCGCCCAAGGGCCGGCGGATTGTAGAAGAGTAAGACAAGTTTACTATATTAATTTGTACTAATTACGCCACATAAACTCAAAAGCAGGTTTATTGCTGTAGAGCAGAAAGTGAGGTTTATTATGGTTAATTATTGCAACCTACTAGAAAGAAACATGATTATTATTGTAGAGTAGAGGAGTAAGACAGTATATACTTTCTAATTGACACTGTGTAGTTCATTGTTGGAATGTTATTCTTTCAGAGAACACTTGTTTATAGTTGACCCGCTCTTTATTTATTTGTAACCTACTTAAAAATCGGGATCTATTATTAACCACATGGTTTCGGAGGCCCGGAGAGCTGTATGTTAAGTGGCAGGTTGTTTACTATTCTGATGTGAACATTAATGTTGTGATTGTGATAAGTGTAAGATCGTAAATACTTTTTGAAGCTCCCATGGGTAGTTGCATCCAACTTTCCATGTTTGCCCTCCACTGGTGCGATGACAAGCATCATTTGCCCGTCAGAAGCACTTGAAGCGACCTTCTCGGCCCTGGCTGATAGCCTGACTGGCCGCGATGCAAGATTGGTCAGGGACCTCTCCGACAAATGGTTCAGCATGTCAGGCAGCACGTCGCTGGCAACGGATTTTGTCATCAACTACGCGGCCAATGACACTTACAATAACAACAAAGCGGGTTTCTCGCTGTCAAGTCTCAAGCCTGACTTTACTGGCAACATGAATTCATTGTTGCATAGTTCTAATGTGCATAATTCCAATGGTATTTTATGGCAACACTGAGAACTACTTTTATGCATTTGTTTGTCAAAGGCTGAAGCTGCAACCTACAGCCGGAAACGTGTTGTGACATTTTTGGAGTCAACACGACAACCAGGCTTAGTGGATGCGTTGAACACCATTGTCGCTTCCTTGTCTGGGTCCGTGTCTCTTCTTCAAAGCCGGGCCTCTGCTGTGAGCGACAACCTTGCAGACAGTTGTAGCTACCTTGCATCTTATGCGGTTCCTGTGTTTGGAGAGGGCAATCTCTATGAGATGCTGACAGAGCCGCTCGTTTCACGACAGGATTTGCGAACCAGGGCCAAAGATAATAATAGACACATTTGCATGTTTCATGATTAATTGCAACTTGACTTTGTTTGTTCTCAAACGGGTGTTCATCGTTTTGAAAAGATAAGAGAGTTGCTTAAAAGGGGGTTAACAGTTGTACAAACTCTTTTGCATTCAGATATATTTTTGTTTGTATTTCAATTCTGTTCTATATCCACGGAGTCTTTCGCCCCAAGGCTGCAAGCTGTTTGTGGCGACCCCAACGTGGCTGCAGCCTTGCCTGCCGCGGCAGAGCCCAACGCTGCTGCTTTGATTGAAGGAGTGGAGGTACTGGAGACTGGAACTACTCCCACGACCACACAAAGAACTAGTACTACAACTGGTGCTGCCACCACTACCACTAGCACGGCAGCTACCACAGCAGCCACAACCGTAGCTACCACGGCAGCCACAACGGCAGCAACAACCGCAGCTACAACGGCAGCTACCACGGCAGCTACTACGGCAGCCACAACCGCAGCTACTACAGCAGCTACCACGTCAGCTACAACGGCAGCGACAACGGCAGCTACCACGGCAGCTACAACGGCAGCCACAACGGCAGCTACCACGGCAGCCACAACGGCAGCCACAACCGCAGCTACCACGGCAGCTACCACGGCAGCTACCACGGCAGCCACAACGGCAGCGACAACGGCAGCTACTACGGCAGCCACAACGGCAGCCACAACCGCAGCGACAACGGCAGCTACCACGGCAGCTACAACGGCAGCCACAACGGCAGCTACCACGGCAGCTACAACGGCCGCCACAACAGCAGCCACCACCGTAGCTACCACAGCAGCCACAACGGCAGCCACAACCGCAGCTACCACGGCAGCCACGACAGCAGCCACCACGGCAGCTACCACGGCAGCCACGACCACGAGCAGGATTGCCACCACCACTACAGCTGCTGGCGGCGTTTGGGAATTCAGCCCGGATCCAGGCGCCGAAAGTCTTACCATGAACGCCAGACTTCATGGGCCGTGACAGGTGTTGCACGAGGCACAGAGGCCTTGGATGCAAACGGAGATGTACCAGGCAACATCGTAGTAGGTGTTTGCCCTTTTTTCTTAGTTTGCAAGAAGGGCATTGCCCCCGTCGAAACGCCAACCTTTCTTTCCGGTCAGGAACCTGCGATGATGTATGTGGAGTCGACAACTGCGATAGCCAAAAGCAGGAACAACTTCAAGGAGCAGAGCCTTGTTTGACATAGAATGGTTTTCACATATTTTCACTTTGCGCTGCGGGTGAACGTTCTGCTTAGGAACATTTTGCTTTGTTTCTGTGTCCTGAACAGCGAGCCCAAGGATTTGGTGGCTGTGTCTACAAGCTTGGGCTCGCCGTGCACTCTTGACCCGGGTGTCAACTGGGCAGCTGCCCCTATGTGGCGGGAGGGCACGTGCTTCCCTTATGGTGGAGCGCCGGGCAACACCGCATGTTCTGCCACATCCACATTCAATAAGGGCCGCCTCGATTTGCTCAAAAAGCTTGCATGTGAATGTTTCCCACGCTTGCAAGTTTGTGACCACCAGAGAGTGTGGATCTTTATCGGGGAGAGGCGGTTGGAACGATTTCAACTCATGCTTTTCAACTAAAGCTTCGCTTGATGCCCAGGAAAACGCATTTGCTACTGCTTAACCACGACTACTACGACCACCACCACTACAGCTGCTGGCGGCGTTTGGGAATTCAGCCCGGATCCAGGCGCCTAAAGTCTTACCATGAACGCCAGACTTCATGGGCCGTGACAGGTGTTG